CGAGTTTGTTTTTCGATTTTGTGTTGATGCTCGATTCTAGGTTTCGCTCTATTTTCATTGCTTGCTTTGGTGTGTTAGGATTCGATATGTGCTTATCTAGAAAGATTTTGACTTTGCTCAAAGCTGTAGAAAGCTCGTGTTAGAAGACCTAGGATCGCTATGCTTGCATGATTTCTCTTGTTATTTTTCTTTTTCTTGAGTCATGGGGATTCCGGTAGACCAAAATTTCGATCTTTTTCTCTATATTTGTATTTCCCATCGTTCGCCCTTAGATTCGTAGTTCAAGTGCGTGCAATCATCCCCCAATCAAGCGAGTAGCATGTTTAGGACCTTGTTTTCGGTTGTGTGACTTTGACGACTAGATAGTGAACGAAGCTCCGAAGAGCCTTCCTTTGAGAACGACCCGAGTCGGGTAGCTCGGTTACCACATGCCCAAAAATACTACAAACAAAATGGCGCCGTTACTGGGGAAGGAAAGTAGGACGCCAAAATTGCTATTTGATTGTTCTTTTTTCGTGTGTTTCTCTTGATTTTTGTGAACCTTGATTAATTTTCGTGTTTCTCTTGATTTCTCTTGCTTTTTCTAGGTAGTGTGTGTTTGTTAATGTTGAGTTTACCTTGTTTCCCATTGGTGCGTTCACGGGTATAGTTGTTGTTTATGTTTATGCAAGGTAGACGAAGAGGAAGACCCCGAAAGGAGACACCCCCATTCGATCTCTTTGTTGAACTTAATATCGAAGAACCTCAACCGCAACCCGAACCCTAACCGATGACGGGACAAGAGAATCAACTTCCACAACCTCCCCCGAACATGAGGTACTTTGCACGACCAATTATTGAAGACACACCTCGTGCCTCGCGATCGGGGAGGCGGCCCGAAACTACGACCTTAAGATCATCCATCTAAACCAAATTCCCTCATTCTATGGCCTTGCCCAAGAAGATGCTCTCAACTTCATTCGAGACTTCTATGCAACCGTCAACACATTTCCCCTCCAAGGACTAACCGAGAACTAACTTCGAATGAGGTATTTCCCTTACACATTGAAAGATCGAGCAAAAACTTGATTCATGACGTTGCTTCCGAATTCGCTCAACACGTGGGAAGCCGTATATGAGAAGTTC